GGGGTAGAGGAAGGGAGTGTTGGACAGGACGTAGGGTAAGGGAGGTCTCGCCTCACTCACGGCCACTTGGACTTCGTCCAGCGTTTTCCATCGCCACTGCACAGCGGGGTCACACGCGCATTTTTGAAAATTCCTGTCCGCGTCCAAAGCACAGCGGCCTCGCAGATCAAGGTGACCGCGGCGGCGTTGCCCAGCGGCGCCCAGCCACGCACACTGCCGGCGCGAGACGTGCGGGGACAAAGCTTCACGGCAGTTAGTCGGGGCGGGCGGGGTCGCGCACGCAGCCCTGGATCTGACGTCTCAGGGCCAGGCATCTTGTCCGGCCCACGGGACGCCCGCGGGGCCGAGCCCCGGCCGGCTCCGTGACACAGTGCCTCCATCACGAGGCGACCCGCTGCGCTCGTCGCGAACGCCCCGCCGCACCCCGCCGCGCCCCGCCGCCGCGGGGATAGAGATCACCTCGCGGAGCACAGTTTGGGGAACGACGTAACGGAGTGGGATGCCACACCCTCCAGACACGACATATTGTTATGAAAAAAATAAAGAGGAATGGAACCCCTGTCTCAAGCCGCAATTGTTTGAGGTCTTGGCTTAAAAGAACGAGCAAGGAGAAAGGGAGCAAGTCACTTCGAAAAGACAGAAAAGGGAGACAGAGGAAAGGAAAGAGAGAGGAGGGTAGAAAGGGGACAGGGAGGGGGTGGCAGAGGGAAAGCACTTCCGAATGCCCAAGTAAAAATATTTGCTTCCCTTGCGGTTTCCAGTTTGTCCGTTACATCATCGACCCCTTTCTCTCCCCGATCGTTCTGGCTTGCTTGTAATGAAATTTTCCACCACTTCGGGCAACCACTGATGCTCTTGTAAACAAGCACTCCCGTCGATACCGTTTTCCAGGCCCAACTGTTTATCTGCGGTGGGCGCAGTAGTGTATGTGTTTGTGTGAGGACATATGAAAACGCGTGCGCTGCTGTGTATGTGTGTGCAAAAAGTCTAGAAAACCGTCGGAGTGGGAGGCCCACCCCACTCCCCGGTACGGTATACACTCACGATGGATAGTTGCTTTTGCGATAAATGGACTGTGTTGATCGCGGCATTACGGACCCTGTCTAAGGCCGCGACTATAAATCCGGCGTCGGTAGGAGGGAAAAAAACAGCTTAACGTTTGGGCACCACTGCCCAATATACCGTATGGGGTGGAACGTCGCGCCGTGGCAAAGTGGACGGAAAATTTATCATACCACGCCTGAATAGGTGTGACACTCCAAGTAACGCACTGTAAAAAATATTAGTAATTTTACAGTTCAGTGGGCTGGGAATTTGCAACACATGGATTGGAAATTTACTGTTTGGGCTGTAAAGTAGCCTTTACATGCCCAGTGGGCTGGTAAAGAGCCACTTACAAGCCCACGCAAGTGAATTTACAGGCAACATTGGCCAGTAAATTTCAAGCCCTG